AACTAATAATTAAAGTTAATTGCAATGTGCCCAGTATACCATTTCTAAATATTAAAAAAAAAACATTACATCACATAAAAATTTAAAATACCTAACGCTGAGTAAATAGTGGTGGGCAAAAGTAAGTTAATTATTAATGAAAACTCCGAGCATTTACATGCGCCAGAGCGAATTTTGTATTTATTAATTTAATCCTCGTCAACTTGCTTACCTAGGAATTATGTGCGGCTTTTTCATTGAAATTTCTGTCCCTCAAGAGACGCCAGACTTGGGCTCTCTGGAATGCTCTTATAAGCTTCGAACATAATATAATTTAAACGTTTGTCCAAAAAATAATAATTTAAACACTAAGGTTTAGATATTTAATCTCCTACTTAACATATTTTTATCCAGTTAAACTAATATAAGTAACTTTTAATGTGTTAAAAATATTAATAACAACAATTTATCATAGAATAAATAATAAATTAATAATTGATATATTCTATTTTAATTGAAAACAAACACCTCGAATATATAGTACATAAGTATATATACAAGTTTTTCCCTATTTTAAATTATTAAAAAGTAATGAATTCATGAACTAAATTAATAAATTCAAAAGTCCAGTTTTTATTAAAAAAAAATACACATAAAAATGCTATATGTGCACAATGAGGTCGTGTCTAATCAGTCTTTAATTTACAGCAATTCATTTTCTACTATATATATATATATATATATATTTATTTATTTATATATAAAGAAATCACTTAGCAAAGAAGGTAACCAAAAATCAACTGTTTCAGGAATTGAAGCACAACGCAGCTGGTGGTAAAGGATTCTGAAAGAAATGTTGATGAAAGCATTGACATATGACAGATCGATAGGGTTTTGCTTGTGTTCTTAAATTCAGTTTGATCCAGCTGATAACGTGCACCAGTACGTTCTGGGTTGTCGCAGAGACCAACATGTACAGAATATTCGAGTTGCTCAGCATGAGAGACAGAGCTCCTTAGTTGTCACATTAGCCCAAACATTGCTTCTAAATAACACAACTTCAAGGTCAATGGGGACAATTATTATGTAATCCTCAATTAACAATTCGGCATCCACTTGCATATTGTCATGCAGTTGCGCTAGATTCATGCTAACTGCTAAGCAATTCAAAACTAGCTAGTTGTGGGTGATGCTATTCTCTCACATTTTTAATCCATATTTAATCATAACAGTTAATAGTTTTCTCCATTTCAACCATCCTTCTTAAGCACAGCATGAAAAACTTCTTGAGGGTACAATCGGATATTCAACAAAGCCCAGGGCCGTGGATTAAGTACTTAAAAATAGAATGCTTTTTTATTACTTTTTTTTTTTTGGGAATCAAAATATATATAGAGAACTGTCACCCCAGTTTTGGTCATTGTTAAGAATAATTTCCATGTTTTTAAACTATAAAATTCCGTAATACAGCAACGTATACTTTTCATAGTGAAACTAAACTGAACTTTTAAAGCTCTTCTTCAAATTGCTTAATATTGTCGAGATTCTACCACCTAATCAGCCATCCAGTTTCTGATGGAGTGCTTCAAGAAACAAAGCATATATGTGTGTGTGTGTTTTAATAAAGGTACTGAAAATCAAATTAATCATTAAATTGATCAAAGTACTAGTTCAAAAATTAATATTCATAATTCATAATTGAATTGTGATCAAATTGATAACAAACAAAACATTAATTTTATTAAATCAATCAAGATATTGATTTAATGACTTATCAATTCAATGGTGCAAGTTGACAATCCAAATTTTCATACTAGAGTTTTAAGAAAACATGTGACACTCTTGGTTGTCATCCGTTGATGTATATGTTTGGGAAAATATCAATTGAGAATCCAAAAAAAAAAAATTATATCAACTGAAGACTTCAAGATTATGATATTATTGCACTGCATCCCCTTAGTACTTATCTAAAAATAAGTTTTTATATTCCTCTTAATGAAAGAGAAACAGCTATACAGGAAAGCATAATGGGTAATAGATACTTATTTATATAAAATTAACACTAAAATTATTTTTGAATTTTTCTAACTTTATTAGAATAGAATGTCCAATTTAACTTGTCTTATCAGTTTTTTTAACTTATTAATTTTTGAATTGTTTATTGTTAATTACAAATGTATTATTGTCGAAATTTAAATTGATCGATACTTATTTATGCAAAACTACACTTGTCTAATTCAACATAGCCTATTTATTTTTTTAACTTGTTTGTTGGCAAACAGGTTGTTATTAATTATGAATATGTTTTTATCAAAATTTGAATGGTTACTTATTTGTATGAAGTTAACACTTATTCAATTTTTTTGAATGGGTTATTGTTACTTACAAATGAGTTATTGTTTGACTCAGCCGAATGGACAATTATTTTAAACTTTAAGAGTAACTGGATCTTTTGTCATACAAACTTATTTTTAGATAAGTACCACGGGGTATAGTGGATCCTCGCTTGACCTTTATAAGCTAAATCTGAAAGAAAGAAAGAATGTAGCAAGGCAGAATGAAGGATAAACGCAGTTTACTTCGATGGAATTCCGTGCAGCACTTAAGTGGATAACTGATTTGGATATCTTTGGCCCACCTGGATTTTCTGATATTTCTTTGGTGTTCATCAAGTAAAAGGCTTGTGTGAATGTTTTCAACAAGACTAACAAAAAGCTTACGAAGAAAATCCTGAAAAAAAGACATCCACTCTCAGTTAAATCTCTTCAAGTTTAGCTGGTGGGAAAGTCTGCCAGAGCAAAGTATGGTGGAAGTCTACTTCTCACTCTTTAGGTTGTACTAATATTTATTTTCCAGCGTGACCTTTATGTATTTTGTGACTTGGTAATTGTTACTCAATCAAATAAAAAAAAAAAAAGTTATGGCTCTAACTGACACTATAATCGAAGCTTTCAACTAATTATGACGTCAATAATATAAAAATCCTTTATCCACCCACACAACGTAACCGGAAACACACACAAGATTTTTGTAGAAATTTTACAAATAAATGCTTAAAAACTACCGCCTATACATCTTCTACTATAATTTTGTGAGTCGTAGAAGTACTTCGATCGACCAAATGATATGTATATGACTTATCTCTGGTTTATACTGTGGCTCTAAAATATTGAAATGCTGCAAATTTAAATAATTATACATAAGTTATAATTCAACTAAAATTCTACATTTAAATAATTAAATTCAAAGCAAAAACGTAATTTATAAAATATTATTATCTTAAGAAATTTTTTTAACAATACTTTTAGTGACAATTTCAATTTTCACACATGAATATCATCACATAATAGCAATGTTCATGTAAAATTTTTCAAATTAAAAGGTTCTTAGGTCAAGTAATTTTGCACAAGGGAAAAGACGTTTAAGAAACCCAATTTTACCCCCAAAAAAAATGTTGTGTGTGTATCATTTTCAAGTAATTTTACTTAAAATGTATATAGTACATATATTTATAATAATATAAGATATATATATATATATATATATTATATAATTTACTGTGTTCGTATATATAATAAATAACTTTAATTTACAAGCCATAGTGATTTTTTTATTTATTTACTTAATATTAAGGCGTCAGTTCAACCAACCCAACTGACGCCATAATGCATTGATTTTTTTTTTAATTTTCTTATATTGAACAAAATAATTTAATACATATTTATAAAATAAATTTTATATAATATTAGATCATTTTTTAGTTGTATATTAGATATTCTAATGTCAGATATAAAAAATTATTTATTTTATTTTATTTAATCTATTAGTTTTTTTTTGGTAATCTATTAGTATATTTAAAGCTAATAATATTTACAAAATTTAGCTCAAATTAAATTTGGCTCTCAGTTCAAATCTTATCCAAATACAGGCATTTTTTTTATGAACCTTAATATCTAAAAAATTTTAAATAAATTAATGTTTTTAAAAGTTTGATTCCATATTGATAACATATATCATCTATTTATATATAATAAAATATACAAAACGTCATATTATCCATATATTTATGATACATACACATATAGTATTACTCTTCACTAACTATTATGGTGTCATTTCCTCTAGGAAAAATTTATGTCAAAAACAAGTTTTTTTTAAGAAAAAATTACGAATAAATCTTGTATAGTATATTTATTTATAAATAATTTTTACAAAATTCAAAAACCATATCCAACTTTCTTGATACTTGAGTTGTAATTTGTGGTTGGGCTATGAGGACAATGTTGCCCCCATTTATTTGGCTTTCATTGACAACTATAGTTTCACAATTTACAAGTAAACTTTCATAGTTCACAAGTTAAATTTCTTATTTAATATTTCATATAACATGTGTTAATTATGTCTATTTAAGGCCATATTTGGTCTAAGTTAGATGTAAAATTCATAATTCACTTTGTAATTATAGCTTAAGGAAATATAATTAACTTTATGGAGACTCCATATTATATCAAGTATAAGAAAAGATTTTGACTTGTGAATTACAAAATTTTATTTATAAATTATGAAGTTATAGTTGTAAGTGAAAGTCAAATTAATAAAAGCAGTATTGTCTTTACACTCTAACCACAAATTACACTCAAGTCCCAACGACTTGACTGCAGTTTTTGAATTTTATGAAATTTATTTGTAAATAAATTTATTATATTTTATATGATTTTTGCATAAATTATTTAACTTATTTATGATATTGCCACTGGATTAATTACTACCTCAATTCTATAAGAGATTTAATTACGTCAAATTTGTGTTATAGAATTAATATTTTAAACTAGTGTTTATAATAAGGATGGGCGGAGTATTATATTATTATCTAGCTATAATAATATAACATGATTAGCAAGGGTGATTCATGACAAGGTAAGCTTCTTATTAAATTTAATGTACGTACTGAACATATCTTATGTTCATATCTAGGAATCTAACTTGTATTGTTTGTCACAAATGCATAGAGATACTAGATATTATCACAACTTTCAAGATATTAATTATAACAACCTAAACAGCAAAATATACATAGAACCACAGTTTTGACCAAGCCTATATACAATCAAAAGAGTATTTACCAATCCAAAATATAATTAACGACCTGTTTGAAGGGTTGAGGATAAGGAAGCTGCTTCAGAGGTAATTTCTGATGTGGGACCACAATACATGGGAACAGGCTTCTTCAGGGGAAGATCTGGCATGGCAACCTCAAAACATAACACCTGAATTGCTTGTCTAATTGATGGCCTCAAATTTTTATCTGGGTGGACACACCACAACCCTACAGTCATAAGACACTCCACTTCTCTCTCATTATAGTCCTTTTGAAAATTTTTATCCATGGCCAAAGCTAGCTCTCCTCTTCCATAATGATCCCAGACCCACTCAATCAATCCTATTTCTCCATATCCATCTGTCATAAGATCATTTGCCTTTCTTCCTGTGGCAATTTCTAAAGCAACTACTCCAAAACTATAGATATCTGACTCCTTACTAGCCCTACCTGTACTCACATATTCTGGAGCCATATAGCCTACGGTGCCTGCCAATCCTGTTGTCTGGGGTCCCAAATCGTGTTCCATGAGCTTGGCCAGCCCAAAGTCTCCGAGTTTTACATTGAAACTGGAATCTAGCATTATATTGCTGGATTTGATATCTCTGTGAACCACACACTGCTGCCATTCTTCATGAAGGTAGAGAATTCCTGAGGCCAATCCCAACGCTATCCTGTGCCTCACGTTCCATGGAAGAGGAGGCTTCTTCCCTGACAAGTGAGCATCAAGGCTGCCATTTGGCATGAACTCATAAACAAGTAGGAACTCGCCTCCTTCATGACACCAACCGATGAGCTGCACAAGATTCCTGTGTCTTAGCTGACTAATGACCCTGACCTCAGTTACGTACTCTCTTTTCCCTTGCCTTGATCCTCTTGATATCTTCTTCACTGCAACTGTTAAATCTATGTCAGGAAAATAACCTCGGTAAACAGCTCCAAACCCACCTTGACCCAGTTTCCTATCTTCAGAGAAATTGTTGGTAGCTTTAGTGAGCTCTCTGCGGGAGAACCTCCTCGGTCCTGCTCCTCTTTCAAGGTCATCATCCATCGATGTCAAGTTCACACCTTCTTCCTTTTTTATTCTCGTTTTCTTCCTCCTCCAAAGTAATGCATATGCTACAATTGCTCCTCCAACAATCAAAACAACACTTCCTAAAACGGTACTCAGAATCACCGGAAGTGTTGTCTTGTTTTCGTTCTGTTCTGTGTCATCCAAAGTTGAGTTGAACTCCCAAGAGAGAAGAGTATTAAGTTCTCCATACGCTCCAGTTGCTGCAGAAAATCCAACTGTAACCCATTCAGGCAGTGCCTTGGATAAATCAATTAGATAAGAAAGACTAGTGTTCTCTCGAGGACTATGTGTCTTCTGGTATTTCCACGATACACTCAAGTTTTTCGACGTAGAGTTGTAGGTAATCCACACGTCTGCAGGGTCATCACTGTGCAGAGTAGCATTCCAATACGTAGATACTGATGAAACAACAGTATTGTTGTTGATTCCCACATGTTCCGTTGTCTCACCCCATTCAGTGTTTGCGTAAGAGTCAAACTCCACGTGAACAATCTGGCTCTCGGGTGATAGACCTGTTGTGGTGTTATATAGGCCTAAAAAGCCACCAGCAGAATTTGGAGGGATTTCAATACCGAAAGGAGCAAGGAAGAAGCAAAGCCCATGGCCATAAAGAGTTTCACCTTGAGTGTCTATAGTGAAGGAGTAGTGAGAGGTGAAGTCAGCGATGCGTCCAGTATTTGAGTCCCAAAGTTTGACCCTTCTGGCATAGATGACCCATCCTACTTGACAAGTATATTTGTCATTCATGTTGAATGGAACAGCACCAGCCCGAGATCCTGCAGATCCCAAGTAGAGTATGTCGGCATCAGTAGAGCCGAATCCAGACTTCTTAATGTAAAGTGAATCAACGAAGAAGGCCGAGGAGAGGAAGGAGAGTAGCAGAGGAAGAAGATAAGGATGAGGATAGCAGTAAGTATCGGCCATGTCTTTTGCTTGGAAAGGAAGTCTTTACTGGATAGGAAAGGTTAAGACTTTAGCGAGTTTGTACATTGGTGTTCACTATTTATATAAGATCATTATGAATCACTTACAGGGAATCCATCTGGAGTGAAGATATAATAATTGAGAAAGTTTAGTGCAGAACAGACTGGTGGGTTCTCCATATTGTACTGTGGTCAACGATATTATTTTAATAAATTAGGATTATATGATAAGGCAAACTCCAACTTTGCAAGGATATACAGTGGAAAATGTCGGGGCAGTTTCCTGAGTTGACTTGAAACAGTAAACATATGATTGGACTTGAAAATTGTTGTGCCAGACACATTCATGCAGGTTTTTGTTTATTTTTGAATTTTTAATTTCGATTATTTTTTAACAGATTTTTAGCAAAAGCGGTTTAAAAATGGGTTTGATAAACAAATTTGCTCAATTTTTTTAATCTATTTTCGCATTTAATAGTTGTTTAGTAGAGAGACGTGATTGTTATTTTCAAATTAATAAAATCCTATTTGTGACATTAAAATTGAAAACCATATTATTTAAAGGGAAAGACTTATATACTATTGTACTTAGTCGTATTATTTACATCATTTATAATTTATCCAATAAAAATATAACTCCCAAATGACATTAAATACAAATTAACTCTAATATTAATGATAGTGTAGAGAGAAAAGGTGAGAAATTAAATATACATTTTATTATAAGAATAAAATTAATTAAAATAATATTAGATAAGATTTTATTTAGAAGATTTGGGACAGTCTAATTGAGTAGATCATAAATAACATGGTACTTCTGGTCTACCTTATAATTTTTCCTTAAACTTATATATTTAATATACTTTTGTCAAATAAAATCAAAACAAATGTATTTTAATGTGTTAATGATATTAATAACAAGAGTTTGTTATGAAATAAATAATCTATACAAGATTCACGTATTTTAATTTAAATAAAAATAAGTCTATTAAGTATATAAGGGTATGTATATAATATTTTTTCCTTATTTAAATTATTAAATACTTTTTATATTCTATAACTTAAATTTTGATTAAATTAAACTTCACAAATCGATATATTTAAAAATGTATAAAAACTGATATCACAACAAGGATACATAACATTGGAAAAAGTAATTTCTTGGTCCTTATAGTTTTATTAAATTTTGAACAATTCCCTGCGTTTTTCTTCTTGTTGTTGAGTCCTTTAAATTTGTTTCGTTAAATCCATTGCCCCTCTTGTTTAAAATTGTCTAATATAAAATATTTTACCTTATTACATGTTTGTGAATATTATTATTATAATTAATAATTCAAAAAATACAATCATCAATCCCTATAATTTTATTGATTTTTGTTTTTGGGAGAATTACATTAAAGGACCTCTCAAAAAAATTATTAACAAACAAGGACTAACAATAAGTTTCATTAAAAAAAAGTTATATTTTTATTTTAATAATAACCCATTTTATATTGGCCCTTGTCAGTGAAAAAATTTCTTGTCGAGACCTTAGATGTGATTCTCCCTTTATTTTTTGTCATTGTAATTTTTTCAAGTATTTAAAATTATAAGGACTAAAAATTATGTATTCTCTTAATAATTTTGAAAACTTTTTTATGTAACTTTATTATGCTTCAAGAAGGTTTAAACTCTCAATATTTATCCATGCCTCATACTTTCGGTAATAATCCCTACCCCATTTTTTTTTAATAAATACAGAGACAGTAGCAATTGCCAAGATTATCGTAGGCCTCTTAATCCCATCCCATCCTTCCTAATAATCCTTGCAAGTGTAGCAGACAGCTGAGAGATCAAGTAAAAGCTAGGCATCGTGTTGAGGCCCAGCTTGGCCAGCAAATCTATTGCCTTGTTGAATTCATGCATGACGTGTCAAATTCGGGTTAGGGGCCTCTAATGTGTTATTCTCTGATACCTCTTATAATGTCCCAACATCTCAATTTTGTTTTTTTATTTTTCTTTCAATCATTAGCTTTTATATAAAATAAGAGATATCTGGACATCTTGATGTCCCAAAATGGTAAAGATTTATATTTTTTATGATTTTTTAAAGAAAAATATCACAAATACACCCTTTTATTTTTGAAAAATTATAAAAAATACAAATCTTTACCATTTTGGGACATCAAGATATCCAGATGTCTCTTATTTTATATAAAAGCCAATGATCCAAAGAAAAATAAAAAACAAAATCGGGACATTGAGACATTTCAAGGGGTATTAGAGAAGGGCACATTAAAGATTCCTAACGCGTCAAATTCGAACCTCCCACTCCTTGTTCATGAGTTATCTAATGCCTGAAGTGAGATCAAAATCAAGATGTTATGGGTTAGGCGCTACTTTCATGGCTTCCTCCACTTCAATTGCATTAGTCTTGAGGATAACTTTCTTGTAGCCCCTATACCAAACCAGCTTTAGCCAGAGTAAACAAGCCTATAGCTCAGCCAAAAAAATTGTCTCTGCATACCAGGTGACTCATGAATGCACTAAGGAAGGATCCCTTATTATCTCGCAAAATACCACCACACGCTGCCTTCATCTCAGTAGTCAAAAAGCCCCATCAACTTTCACTTTCGTCCATCCCTATAAAGGTGGCTGCCAATCTTCCTTGTTCCACTACAACTCACCTTCCTTTACTTGCTTTTTCATTAACTTGCATCTGGCTTCTGTGCTGGTATCCACCATAACCCTCGCATGAGAGACGATATATGAGAGTCGCATTTGCTTATTCTCAAAGACAAAAGGGTTTCTACGCTTCTAGAGGTTACAACAAATGATCGTAAAGAAAGCTATCTGATCAATGTTAGCTCTACTCCTCCTTCTTGACACGTTCATTGCAACCCAATCAACCAAGTTCACGCTCACAAAGCTGTTCCAAGCTGTAGGATGTATCAACTCTTGCCACATAATTTGAGTTTGTTCACAATCACGAAGGACATGAAAAGTATCTTCAATTTGGGCTTGACATATAGGGCAACCATCATCCCTACTCAAACCCCTCCTTTTCCTTACACTGTTAGTAAGAAGGCTACCTTGATACGCTAGGCAGAGGAAAGTCCTGCAACGTTGTGGGGCATTAACTTTTCACATTCTCTCCCACAGATGATTCATGTTCTGAATGGGTGAAGACAGCATGGTATAAGCAGATTTGACTGTAGACAAACCATTGCTGTCTTTACACTAGTGAACATCCCCCCATCATTGAAACATTCAATGCCGCCTTACACGTTATCCCAAGTTGTTTTATTCCAGACCAAATATTTAATCCTGATCGTATTTCATCAATCTTTGGTATGACATCTTCCCCACAACCATACTTGCTGTGTATCACTCACACCCATAAATCATCTCATTGCTTGCAAAGTCCCTACCCCAACTTCATGAGAAAAGCTAGGTTTTGTTTCCTTGCATGATGTAGACTAAGCTCCACATGCTTTTTTGGTTTGTATACATCATCCTAGGCCACCAAGTGAATCTGTTGTTTGTCCTCCGAGCTTCCCCATAAAAAGTCTCGATTACATTTGTCAAGAGCCTTACAAGTAGGAATAGGAAGTAAGGCAATCTGCATGATGTGTCCAGGAATTGCTGACATAACTGAAGAAATTAAAGTATTTCTTCCAGCGAGGAAGAGGGAAGTTGGCTTCCATCTAGCAAGACGAGACCGTACTTTGTCAATAGTATCTTGAAAGTATCTCTATTTACTCTCTGATGAAGGAGAGGCACTCCAAGTTATTTTACCAAGTCTACCGTCCTCATGAATTCCAAACAAGCCCTAATCCTTGCCCTATTTTAACCAAACGAATTAGTCTCAAATGGCGGTCTTGTATGCTTGAAATAAAAAATAAAATAAAATTTCTGCTTTTATGTTAATGAAATGGCTTTACTACTACTTAGAGGAGCTTTTAAAACCTGAAAAAAAAAAAAATTAAAACTTATTTTTTAAATAGATTGTTCTCCCAAACAAACCTGGCCGAAACCATGTCAACTAGCACAATTCTGGTAAACTATATATTATTCACAAATATAGAACACTGTTTTAAACTTTTTTTTTTTAACTTTATGAATCATTTTAACATGAATCAAATTCACTCAGAAGAAAAAGTATAATTCAATGGGTATCAATCAACAATGCATCACCAATCAACAATGCAGATGATAGGGACTTTGATATCGTATGCATCAATCAACAATGCACCTGATAGGGACTTTGATGTCGTATAAGATATTATTAAGTTTATTATGGTTATTGGTTAGCACACAAGAAAATGGGTAGGCAAAATATATAAATAAAGTACATAGTAGTACGATGATTTCAGAAAAGTCTACAAACTAATATGTTATAATTAAATCATATTTCAAGTGGAAAATATGTTATTATTATAAAGTTAACCATGAGTGTGTGTGTGTGTGTCTGTGTAACTAAATGGGTCATATAACCGTGTATGTGAAAAATATAAAAATAATATTTTTGTTGAAGTTGTCCTTAGATGGAATTCCTGGCCGGCCGCAGTGTTGAATTTGCCTTTGAATGGAGTTTGCGGTTGGGCAACCAGATCATGCGCATGCCCAACTTGGCTTCGCCCTATTCATGATTAGTTCTGACTTCTGACTGATGCTGCTGCTCAGAACTTTTTTTTTTTTTGGTAGAAATTGCTCAGAAGTATTAATAAGGGCTAGCTTGACCTTAAATTGATTATGCTTTTCAAAATTGGGCCTCATTAATAAGGTTTAGAGTTGAGCCTGGTCTCGTGCGCGTAAATTTTTATTAATTTTTTATTTAAATTTTTCATTATGTTAATATATAATTTAAAAAAATGTCAATTTCATATATTAATTCAAAAATAAGAATAGTTATTTTGTAATATTAACAATTTCAATCAAATAATTTTTAAAAATAGAGTTTAAAATGACTAATTCGAACCTGTATTTAAAGAGTTAATAAAAACTGGGCCTAAAACTTTTTTTGTATAAAAATTTTCCTTTTTTCAAACCCGTGATAAAAATATATAAGA